AGGATGACTTTCGTGCCCACCACATGCAAATCTCCAGCCCAGGACAAGGATGGCGGCGTTGCCACTCCACTAGCACGGAAATTTCCTCTCCGATAACAGGGGCAAAGTGCGAGTTTTACCTATTGCTCTCGGGCCGACTGGACTGTATAATAGTCCACCGGTTCCCAAAATCAGTTTCAAAAATTTGATCATCGATCTCAAGAAGAGAATATGACATAGCAGCGACACGTGAAGGCACAACCACGGCCACGGGATTCCCTCGACGGGTTGGGGAAATTTAGAAACGGTGGGTGCCGAACGGACCCTTTCTAGCGCACGTCGGGAAATTTGCAGTCAATGAAGTCAGTAAATTCACTTGCGTGGGCAGGAAAGGATCCTTTCACAGCGCAAGTGGCATGCAAAGGCTACTTTCCATTCCAGTAGGTAAATTCCCAACCCATGTACTGCAAATCCCGAACCTTTGTACATGAAATTTCCTCACCCAGTAGCTAGTAAAATTACTAATATTTTTTACAGTGTAGCCTTAACAAAGAGATGTAAAAATATAAAAACCAAACAAGTAGTAGGAAAATCAGTAACAAACCCTAGGATAGGAAAAACGTTAACTATTCTTGTTAACTATAAACGGGCCCTTAGTAGTAAATGAATGTTAAATTTGAGTATGTTGTTTTACTATAAATATAATTAGCCAGTATCATGGGTGTGCGTGCTTCAAGCAGAAGTCGGAATCCGTGCCTGAACGGGTCCTACTCTGAGCGCCAGCTGTGAGCAGTCGGTCGGTGTGCGAGAGAGACAGAGCTAGAAACCCGAGGAAGCGGATGGCTATGTACCGAACCTTGCTGAAGGAACCCGAGCGAACGGGACCCGTTTGACCCGCAAGTGAGCATTCGAAATCTCGCGTCCGAAAGCGATTGTGCCAGTGAGAAGTTTGCACCGCGTCGTTGCGTCTCTTTCTCGTACAATAATCTGTTTTTGGACGCCATGTAGGCACTTCGTGCCTGCTTGCTGCGTTGTTCTTGTTCTTGGTGTGTCTTTTTGCGTGATATTTTTTTGAATTAGCCTTTTCATCATTACTCACTGGTAAAACAAAGGTAGGATACCCTACCTTTAAAAGGCACTAAAGCTCCAAAGGCATTACAGCTTATGTTTTTTCGAAATATTTCGTTCCTATAGACTTAAATTGGATTCTTAGACCCATTTTCGTAATCTACGCAAAATTCCGCGTCGAACGAGCCTACATGTGATGGGGTTCTGTTCAAAAATGGCACAAATTGATAGCATTTTTTGTACTTTTTGCCTTGCTTTTCATTCACAGACTGCTTATCAGAACCCTATCATATATAGGCTCGTTCGACGCGGAATTTTGCGAGAAATGCGACAATGTATCCCAAAATGTGATCGGTTTGCTCATTCAGAAAATATTTGGGAAAATCTGAAAATACACACTTTAGCACCCTAAAAACGAGTTTAGCACCCCTGGAAAGGTAGTGTATCGCACCTTTGTTTTACCAGTGCTCTTATATAAATGAACACGATTTTTGGCATGAGCGCTGGGTAACGCGCGCGGGCGGCTGACTACTCAGAGAGGAAGGTGTCTATAGTTGCTCTGGTACCCGGGCGTGGGTGTCGTGCTGCTCAACAGGTGGTGTTGAACCATGACGCCCTGCCCCCCCCTCCCCCGCTCAACTGTCTGGCAGAAACGGGTCCGTTTAAAAATTAAGGACACAAGAATAATACTTAATTGGTAGTCAGGACGGTTCCAACTTCAAAATTATTTGGCACAAAGTAGAAATGGTACATTTTGATGATACTTAGGAATGACTACAAAATTATTCTTTGGAGTAAAATTATTCTTTGGAGTACAAAAACACACAAAAAAGAACTTAATCAAGCAGTCGTTTTGGACGAATGATTTGTCTCCCCTTCCTGGAGAAGACCGGGACGTCCTCCACTACTAGAGCTTGTGGTTGTTTAACAACCTTTCGAGTATTCTTGGCCTCTGGGGCTGGACGGACTAGAGTCTTGGGAACTTCCACGACTTCTACGACTTCTCGGAGTATCTTGAAAAACTGGTGTCTTCTTTGGAGTCTCAGGAACAATTGGCTCCATTACCGGTCATGCATGCAGGTGTACTAGGGGAGGGGCAGGCTGCTCTAAGACCAGAACTGGTGGAATGACTGAAGGCATTCCCTCCACAATTTGAGGGTTTGTCGGCTTCATTCCAGCTAAAGGATCTTCTTCAATGCATTTTGCCCCTGGAGAGAGGGGCCGCGGGTGAGATGAAAGCACCTGGGTGATTCTCAGAATACGGGCCATTTGGGAGTTCCTAAATTTTTTATTTTTTTTTGTCGAATTTGCTAGGTTTCTGGGTCGCAATAGTTTTATTTACCTTCAAATAAGATACGTGTAAAGTGGCGATAGTTCAAATCACGTACTTCTAGTACAACGTTAAAAGACCATATTGTGGTCACGTTCAATCAATGACAAAACTCAAATATTGCCTCCCGCACCTTTTAATTAGTCTTTTGTTTGCTCCACTAGTGT